AATTTTTCCCCTCCTTTGGAGTATTTCTGTAATGTTGGTGGATAGCTATGCCACAGAGCATGCATAAATTGCACATTTTGTTTGACTTTCTTTGTAAAATATTTAATTTGAAAAATATAATTTATGCCAAAAAAGCATATCTTACAAGTTTGCCACTTAACTAGGTTGATTTAGCACAAAAAATGCAAAGTCTCGGGGTGGAGAGGGGGAGTGAAAAAAATTTTATAGATATTATTGAAAACGTTCCATTACTAGTCTGTCAGAAACCCTAAAGCTGCATTGTGAAACGAATTGTAAATTACTTTTTTAAAAGTGGTAAGAGATTGTGAAAAAAAATCTCAGATTTAATGCTCTCTAACCACATGATTTTCTTCTGTTTTTATTTGGTAATACGCTGCTACATATTTGGAGGTTCTGGTGTTTGTAGGTCACTGAGCAGACATTGAAATCTGATTTATATTGTATAACTGTAACATAGAAAGAAAAAGTATTTATATATTTTCCGTAAGACTATTTCATTGAGTTGTGTATAATTTAAATAAGATTTGTCCCCAAATGGTTTTGCTCACCTTGATTTTTTTTTTTTGTTGTGGTTTTCTTGTTTTTGTATAATGTGTACAGTTTATGTCAAGGGCATTAAGAGCCTCCTGAAGCATAATCTTATCAAAGGGATACATTGTTAATAAAATGTACTTAAAATTCTTAAACTTGTGTTGTTTTATTTGAAAACTTAAAACAGTGCTCATGTGGCCTTGATTTGAATTATGAATACTAATGCTGACACATGTGACTCCTGGAAAAAGGGACTTTTGTTGCCACAGATAGGGGCTAGTACAGTGACATGTAGAACAGCTATTCCAGATATTTTTAAGTAACTATTAACACTTTAATGCTCTTTTTAATTTATTCAAATATCTTTACAGTTTTTCAATTTGCATATCGTTATTATAAAGTGTTTGGAAAGCAGATCTGTCATTAGATAAGACAACCCTGAATTCTTTTAGGAAATAATGTACAGTTTAAGCAATGAAGATATGATGATGGTGACTTTGGTAGGTATTTAATTTCTCATGGATAAACTGGCCTGATCAGGTAAGCTAATCTATAGCTATGTAGTGGCAGAAGAAAATACCACAAGGGAAATGACCAATTCTAGACAATAAAACTTAGTGTCAGAACTAAAACAGACAATAATCTGTTGTACTTGATAAAGTAGAGTAAAATAAATATCTCACTTTTTTTTTCTTTTGGAGAGAGATTTTTGCTATAGAATGTGTGTGCTTGCTGGAGAGACAGAGACAGACACAAAAAGAGAAACCCCCCAGGGGGATGGCCATACTGCACTTGCTTCTCCTTTGTTCTCCTCTTGGGATTTTGGGCATGCATGCACACACACCCAGCGTGTTTCAAGCCACCAGGTCTGGGACTCGAACCATGGTTGTCTATGTGGGAGTCCAGCAATGTAACCATTATGCCATCTGCCAGTCCCATAAATGTCTCACTTTAAGAAACATTTCTTTTGGATAATTTGGCTATCAAGCACATTTCTATATGTCATTTTTCCATTGCCACCTTTATATGTTGTTAAAAATAGTTGCCCCCCCCAAAAAAATTAAGTATACTTAATATTATCGTGCAGCTGATCTTTGAAAAAAAAAATGTTAACTTTTAAAAGGTTCTTTCATTTTAGCATATAAAAATACTCAAAATTAGGACCTATGGTGGCATAACAGCATGACCTTTGTGATGTAGAACTCACAGGGAAGGTCCTGAGGTTGTGTCCAGAGGTTTCCCATATAAGCAGGGCAGGTGTGTGCCCGTAGGCCAGGCTGACCGGGGTGGACTGTGACATAAAGAGTCTGTTGGAGGTGGCTTTCTCTTTAGCTTTTTCACTCTTGTGGAAGAAATAAACTTTGGAAAAAAAAGAAAAAAAGAAAAAAAAACCTAGCAAGTGAATCAATACTGATTTCAGAGAAGGAACTAAAACGTACTACAACTTTTTTTAAAGAATTATTTAATTTTATTTGTCGTCATTATTTTAACTTGCTATAGGGTACATATGCTCACTGGAGAGAGTAAGTGAGAGAGAGAGAGCGCACGCACATGAGAAAGCAAACCACCAGTTCTGGGTCTCTAACCACAGTCAGAGATGTGAGAGTCCAGCACCTTCACCACCATACCACCTGCTGGCCCCTGCTTTGGTTTTTTTGTTTGTTTTGGGAGAGGTTTTTGCTGTAGGGTGTGTGCTCGCTAGAAAGAGACAGAAAGCGAGAAACCACCACCACCACCACCACCACCACCCCCCGGGGGGGCATGGCCATGCTGCAATTTCTTCTCCTCCATTCTCCTCTTGGGATCTTGGGCATGCACGCACATGCACCCATTGTGAGTTTAAGCCACGGGTCCAGGACTCGAACTGTGGTCAACTACAAGGGAGTCCAAAATGTAGCCATTACGCCATTTGCCAGTCTCCCTGCTTTGTTTTTTTAATGTTTGTTTCAGGGACTAAGACAACTACATGATTAGCCCTTTAAGTTGAATATTTTCAGCTATTATGTTGTAGACATTATTTTAACTAATTCTGAAAACCTATCTTTTCTCTCCCAAGAGTTTGAAAGTTCTATGTTATGCAAAATATTCAGTATGTCTTATAAATTCTTTTGCAATGAAAGCCCGCTTATCTATCAACAGAGCTCTTAGAAGAAATACAAGATAAGTCTAATTCAAGTTGGTTTTCTTGACAAGTACACATTGCAGTAGATAGTCAGCTTGGCTGTCATTATTTAGTATGGGTTAAGTGTTAGAATGTCAGCAAGCATTTTCAGCAGGTCTGTGTCTCTGAAAAGGTCCTCGTTGCCAATCTGAATCATCAAGGCACCTTGCATGCAGCTTAGGCTTGCTATACAGGTCATTAATGCCAATGCTGTCCACTACTGAAATACCCTGCAGCTGAGGAATTACTACTAGTTCGGTTTTAGTTGCAAATTTTTTTTTTTGGAGAGGTTTTTGCTATAGGGCATGTGCGCTCACCGGAAAGACAGAGAAAGCGAGAAATCACCCCCCCCCCAGGGGGGATGGCCACACCGCAATCCCTTCTCCATTCTCCTGTTGGGATCTTGGGTACGCACACACAGGCACTCGGTGTGAGTTTAAGTCACTGGGTTCAGGACTCGAACCGCAGTCGACTACGTGGGAGTTCAGTGACATAGTCATTATGCTAACTGCTGGTCCCTAGGTGCAACTTTTTGAAATGAACTACAGCTATGTTAGAAAAAGAGGAACTCATTTAGACAACCTCAAGTATTGCACATGAAATATGATACATACTAAGTAAGGAGGGGAGTGAGTGGAGTATGGCTGGGTTTGCGACAGCCATGAGTGGTGGTGGTACACAAGTGTTCATTCAACTTTGTGTGTGTAATTGAAGTTCTCCATAATGCTTTTTTATTGTTGTTTAATAGAGACTTTTGCTCTAAGGTGTGTATGCTTGCCAAAGAGACAGAAAGCTAGAAATCACCCTCCAAGGGGGATGGCCACACTGCGCTCCCTTCTCCATTCTCTTTGGAATTTTGGGCATGCACGCAACATGCACCAGGTGTGAGTTTTAAGCCACCAGGTCTGAGATTCAAACTATGGTTGATTACATGGGAGTCCAGTGATGTAACCATTATGCCATCTGCTGGTCCCCATAATGTATTTTTTTAATTCTCATATTTCTAATACATGAACATGAATTTCGAAGTTTGAATATTTCTTAAAGCAATGTTAAGATGGCATATAGTATTGAAAGCTAAGGTTTTAAATACTTATGTGGTCATTATGAACTTTGCAGAGGAATGCTTATAGCCACAAGTACAGGACATACATAGCAAAATTGTAGACACAAAATTATGTACCTATCATTTCCTGTTACACTTCATTTGATTTAGGTCAGTGATTCTGAGTTTAGTGTGTGACTAAATGGGAACTGATGGAAAGTACAGAATCTAGTTCTTGTGTGTCAGAGATTCTGAGTTTTGGCACAATACTCAGGCATTGGAATTGACACTTTTAGTAAGTTAGGAGGTGGTTCAGC